GGTGACAATCAAGAAACTGTTAAAGTGGGTAAGTGGTGAGTGGACACAGGATTTCAGTGTTAGTGCCACCTGTAGACCATATTAAGAGCAAAATCATGCATATGAATAGGTATCTGTGTGCTACAGCAATAAATAAACCAAAAGTTAAGGGTATATAATTTATGAAGTTTAATTTGGAGTTTTCATTAAGTGAAACAGCTTATTAATTTTTTTTTCTTCAAACATTGTGAACATTCCTACTCCTTAAATATTATCTAAATTGTTCTTTAAGTAATGGACATATGCATTGTGTGAAGTACTGTTTGTTAAGATATGTCTTTCCCATGGCATGTATATGTTTGTATACTTAGGAAGCATGTTTAGTATTTGTTTATATTTCTTTTAGACCGTGCTTCTGTGGGACTCTTTCATACTATCCTCTTTAATATTCAAGCTTCTTACTTCTGTAACTGTAATAATTCTGAAAGTAATAGGAAGTTATTACATTTTAAATACTGTTTCTAAGTTCATAGTTGTGTGTGTGTGTGGTGTGTTTAAACTAGCTGACATTTTGACAACAATCATCTGTGGAGCCGTAGCAGTTAGAAATGATGTTTCTGCTAAGTTTCTCAGCTTGCTAAGAAATAAGTTCCTGCTTTGTTGTTTCCCGTCCTCAGACTCAGGGAGAATTTACAGTGGTAATAGGAATATGTCCTGGCTATTTTTTTTTTGTCGCCTTGACACAAGCTAGAGTCATCAGAGAGGAGGGAGCCTCAACTGAGACAATGCCTCCATAAGATCAGGCTGTGGACAAACCTGGAAAGCATTTTCCTAATTAATAATCAATGGGAAGGGTGCAGTCCATGGTGAGCAGTGCCTTCCAGGGGCAGGTAGTTGTAGATTCTATAAGAAAGCAGGCTGAGCAAGTTATGAGGAGCAAGCCAGTAAGCAGCACCCCTCAGTGGCCTTTGCATCAGCCGCTGCCTCCAGGTTCCTGCCCTGTTTGAGTTCTTGTCCTGACCTCTTTTAATGAAGAGCAGCAATATGGAAGTCTAAGCAGAATAAACCCTTTCTCCCAACTTGGCTTTGGTCATGGTGTTTTTGTCTCAGCAATAGAAATCCTAAGACAGAACCAGAGGGAAATTTTTTCTAAAAGTTACCTTAGTAGGCCATTGAAATGATTATGGAGACAATTTTCTCACTTGTTATAAACATCAGAAGAGTGTGGAGACGATGATTTCTTGCTGTAATTGTATGCATAGATAATTTAGAGAACTTAAAGACAAACTGTATTAATAATAGAATCTGCACAGTGGCTAAATATGTGATCTTTTTTCCTCAGTATCTTTTTACTCTAGACATGCTTACCCATAGTGGTGGGAATATCACTTAATTCTCATTGATGACACAATTTCAGAAATTGTTGGAAAGGCTAAAGAGGTTGCTCCGCTGAGAAAGGCTACGTAGCATGCAGCAGGCCCCGGGGTGTGGTCTCTGCCTCTGCAGAGGAGGGAACAGTGTGGCTAGAACATCACGGGATCTGAACTAAAGCTGTAAATCTTACTCAGAGACCAAGAACAAGATCTGGGTAAAATCAAGCAAGTTCATGTAGTAGAAAGGCAGGCTTAATAACTAATATGTGAGTGCTCCTTAAAATAAAAACATAGAGTTCATGTGTTCCAATCACAGACCTCAGGGATTTTAATTGATTTACTTATTTATTCATTCAGTCGTTTACTCTGTAGTGCAAGCTGGTAATGATAAGTGTATTTTTAAAATCTGACTATCTAAGAAAGCTGAAAAATGAGCAGTGACTTTCCAGATACCACAATGTGGACAGAATCAATGTAATTGTATCAAGGGTTGTTAGAAATAAGACTCCAGGCATAGTTCTGTGTGGAACAGGCAATTGGTTAAGGAGAAGGTAAAATATCAAAACTGTCCACATACGAGAAAATAAGAATAAACGTGAATTTTAGGGCATATGAAGAATTAATGCCATTGAATTAAAGAGCTACATGAAGGGGCTGGTGAAATGGCTTAGCAGTTAAGAGCACTGGCTGTTCTTCCAGAGGATAGGGTTCGATTACCAGCACTTCCATGGTGGCTCACAAACATCTATAACTCCGGTCCCAGGAAATTTGACAGTCTCTTCTGGCCTCCATGGGCGCTTCATGAATGTAGTACACAGACACACATTCAGAAAACACTCATACGTGTAATATAAAAGTAACTAAAATCTTAAAAAAGAAAGAGAGAGAGAAAGAAAAAGGAGCCCTAAGCTAAAACTGAGAGTCATAATATGATAAGATAATCAGAGCATTTGCTCAGAGTTCAAGGCTCTGACCCAGGGGTGCATTCTTTCTTAGTTTTAGTGCTAATTTTTTTAAATAAAATTTTAAGCAAAATCACAGACAAAAACATCAAAGGCCACATATAACGGCTCACTCTTTTTATCTCAGTACTCAGGAGTTTGATGCCAGCCTGGTTTGTATAGTAAATCCTAGGCCAGCCAGTGAGTGCTTTGTAGTGAGACTTTGTTGTTGTTAAGTATCACGTGACTTTAAAGGCAGCTACTCAGAACTTTGCTCAGTCCCAAACTGCATCACAGTGAATGCACCATTAGAATGGCCATTCTGAAGCTCAGGGTTACTTACTTTGACTGTCAAGTATGTGTTTTCCTTCATAAGCTAGGTCATGCATTGTCTTATATGAAAGAGATGCTTTGGGGAAATATTTTGCTATTAACACTTTTCCAGTGTCGGATGTAACGCCGGGTTAGAGCATTAGCCTGGTATGCACTTGGACTTGATGCCTACCACTGCAGTAACAAAAACTTAAAAGAATACTTCTTTTTATTGAAGGGCATTATCCATTTCTTTCTTATTAGGGTACCTTATCAGCAGAAAGAGGTTGAGAAATTTTCACTGAACGATTTCATTGTGCTAAAATTTCAATAAGTACAAAATATGGAAATGGGTTTTACCCCAGTAATTTGTATGGTAAGGATTCACACCCGAGATTTCTTATCTTAGTGTGTATGAGCGAATCTAAAAATACTGCCCTCTGTTTCCTACTCAGATTTAGAACTCCTAGAGGCATATGCCATGGAGTCATACAGAACTTAAATTGATAAAAGTTGGCAACTCTTATTGTCTCATGAAATCACTAGTAACATTACTGCTGAATTTTATATTTCCTAAATTTGTTGAGGTTCAGGTGGCCAACCAGAGGTATGGAGAAGTAAAATTGTTACCTTTTCCAAAAGATTAACACCACAAAAGAGATAAACTTGGTGGTGGTGGGTGCTAGTCCCAGCACTTGGGAGGGCAGAGGCAGAGGCAGGCGGCAGGAGGATCTCTATGAGTTCATGGCCAGTTTGGTCCACAGAGCAAGTTCCAAGACAGCCAGGGCTATACAGAGAAATCCTGTCTTGAAAAACAGAACAAACAAATGAACAGGAGCATGGAGTCCGAAGTGCACGTAAGCACTCCTCTAGCTCGGGAACTCGCTGTTGAACTGGACTTGTTGTTCCGCTGAGGCTGGTATCCTAAGGCCCTGGGCCTACGTGATGTTCTTGTCTTCGCCTCCCAGTTAGCCGGGCTGAAGAGCCGGCACTGCTGCCGCCTCTTCTCCCTGCATTAGTCTCATCAGTTATTCCTGCCCAGAGACTGAGGGGATGAAGGCAGCTGCCAAGTGAGGAGGCCAAGAAGGCCGGAGATGTCACTGTGATAGATAAGGCTCCATTAGGAAGCTCAGGGCCAGTAGGAAAAGAGCCGTTGGCCTAATCATTTTATTTTCCAATATGTGCTTTTGAAATTGAGAGATAATTCACATGTACTCAGATGTACAGATTTTAAATTACTATTAGGCAAGTTTTGACAAATGTGTTCATGTAATCACTACTTAAATCATGATGTGAAGCATTTTAACACTGTTTTACAAATGAATTTGCAATAAGATTTCTGCTGGGGGCTGTGACCCACAGGTTGAGAACCATTGCTCTGGAAGAGTTGCGTGAGTTTTCCCTAAAACATTTCCATATTGCTATAGAGAAATAATTAGAGAGAGACAGATTTTTTTTTTTTTAACTAATTAGGATTGCCCCCTCCTCCCTCCAGACAGAGTCTCTCTGTGTAGCCTCAGCTGTCCGGGACCCCTCATGTAGACCAGGCTGACCTAGAACTCAGAAATCCATCTGTTCTACCTTACTAGTGCTGTGATGAAAGGTGTGTGACACTACACCTGGCCTTACTTAGGCGTTCTTAAACAAATGGATTCTTCACATAAACTTGTGTGGAGTTTAGTTACTCTGTATCTTCAAATGCTTAAATTGGGCCAGCATTTGGGCAGCTGAGGCAGGAGGATTAAATTCCATACCAAAGTGTGATATATTGTGAGAGCCGTCTCAGAAAAATGGAACCAGATGCTGGAGAGAATGAGTCTATTTAAGTGCTTGCTATTTGCAGACGACCGGAGTTCAGTTCCCAACACCTATGGCTAGTGGATCACACCACCTATAACTCCAGTACCAAGAGATCTGACTCCCTGTTCTGGCCTCCAGGGGCACTCCACTCCAAAAATGCATGCATGAGCACACATACATAATTAAAAGTAAAAATAAATCTTGAAAAGCCCCAACCCCCAAATTGTTAAAGTTGGTTTTGTTGCTCTGTTCTGGTTTTAAAATATAAGATGACATATTAACATTTCTGGTATTAATACATAGCCAGTACGTGCGGGCATCATTTATCTTTCCTCTCCTGTTGGTACAGCATAACTTTCAAGTATGTCAGACAGAGTCGGTAACCAGATAACCGTATGGAGATAGTGCGTACTTCCTTTATGCTAACTGACAGGCGTGGTGCAGTAACCACAGCAGACAGGGTGCCAGGACAGTGTTCTGGCGCATATACTAACAGCTTAGAAAATGGAACCTGTGAGGCTGGCAGTGTTTATAAAGAAGGGCCCTGGAGGGAGAAGACTGGTGAATGGGCAGGGATGGCCTCTGCGGTGTTGACATGGAACTTGGTGAGAGGGCTGTCAAGCGTGGCACTGAAGATATGATGAAGGGAAGCCACCAAAAGGACATAGATGTCAACAAGAAGTGTCTGTGGACTTGGGCAGAGAGCAACCTTTACAAAGCAGGTTTGGAGAACAAATGTAGGGGGAAGGCTGTGTATTTGGTTCTGGATCACCTAGTTTGTTCTGAAATAAAGTGTATAGTGGAATGGATTGACGGCATGAACGCTAACATACGTAGTCACGATTAGTTAAATCAGCAAATTAGTGTCTATTGAGTGACTCTTACAGCCTACTTTATTGCTTTGTTTTGTAATTTTGAGCTATTTCTTTAAAACCATTTTTACTGGGTAGGCACAGTAGTGCATACCTTTAATCCTAGTACTTGGAGACAGAGGCAAGAGGATCTTTTTGTTTTGTTTTGTTTTACTAAAAGGCCAGCATGAGCTACATAGCAAGGTCAAGTGTTGTAAATTAAAAAAAAAAAAGAAAAAAGAAATGTGTTAGGCTATATAATGTTTATTATTATTAGCCCTAAGATTATCATGGTGGTATTATTTAACCTGCTATCACAAATAATAAGACACAGACACGTGTTAGATTGATAATTGCCTAATTTTCCTTGGCCTGGGCAGATATTTTACTTACACTGTGTCAGTAACCTTACCATCCATCTCCCAGCCCCCATCTAATGCCATCTGCCTTAATCATCATTATCTAGTCCACTGTTCATCCATAATCCCTAGGTACTTGCTTGTATTCTTCATCTAGATCTTTTCATGCCATTATTGGAGTCCTTCCTCTTGGCCCATGAGTATTTTTCTCCACACTAACCCATCCTGCAGTCCTTTCTCCTCTCTTCCTGTCCATCTGTGTGCCTTGATTCTCCTGTCCTCCAAAGCACGGGAACCTTAGCTATGCCTACCGGATTCTGCCCTGCACGATTTAGGCTGTTTAATCAACCAGTCAGATACATCTTAGGCAGGTTTACAAAACAAAGATAGATGTACCCAGATCTTGAAGGCCAGTAACAGGCATCAGACCAAGCTCCACTAGTCAAGGCTATCTAGGGCTACATAGTGAGACTCAAAACAAAAGAAAACAAGAGCCCTGTTTTGACTCAGTTTACAGATGTTATATTTAGAGACTTTTTGTTTTTGTTTGTTTGGTTTTGGTTTTGGTTTTGGTTTTGGTTTTTCAAGACAGGGTTTCTGTTTGTAGCCTTGGCTATCTTGGACTCGCTTTGTAGACCAGGCTGGCCTCGAAATCACAGCAAATCGCCTGCCTCTGCTTTCCTGAGTGCTGGGATTACAGGTAGATGGCTTAGAGACTTACTTATTTTTATAAAGTCTAGTACAATCTAATATAACAATCTTTAATAAGTATTGAGAGAGCATAGGACATACAGGTTAACTAGTATTTATGAATTAAAAGAGACTGCTAATGTTTTGGTGTACGCTGGTCTTTTGTCTGCGTGTACATCTGTGTACCGCATGCCTTCCCAGAGCCGTTGGAGGCCAGAAGAGGGATTTAGATCCCTTGGACTAGAGTTACAGCCATTTGTGAGCAGCCCCTTTATTTTGTTTATTATTATTATTATTATTATTATTGTACATATGTGTGGGGTGGAGGGTGCGCAGCACTCTTGTGGAGGTCAGAGGGCAACTCTGTGGCATCTGTCCCCTCTTCCACCTTTGCTTGGGCCTGAGGGATTGAGCTCAGGTCGTCAGACTTGCATTGCAAGTGTTTAGCTGGCAGAGCTGTCTTGCTTGTGAAAGCAGCCTTTAAGGGCACATCTGAAAAGTTCTAGTGTGGGAACCTGGAACTGAGTGCAGGGCGCATTGCTGTGCTGAGACGAGGTGGCTGTGAGGAGGACTCCTGTACCTGAGCATGGCTGGAGGGACCTGCTGTCCTGTGCAGAACCTGTCCCCTTTTTAACTAGAAAGCACTGGCTGTATCTTTACTGTGTTTACTTTCTCAGCGAGGAGTAGTTCGTCACTTAAAGCAGAGAAAAAAAGAACTAGCTATATTTGTTGTTGTCATAATTAAAAATTGGGAAAGCCTAAATCACACTTGATACCTTGACAGCTTCCCAATATTTAATCTATGTGCTTTAAGGTAAGATTGCCTGTAGTGTAATAAATTTAATAATTTGAAATAGCTTAGTGAAGTATGTCAGCACTTGGAGATAAACATCACTCAGTGACTTTTGTTTTTAAGTGACTAATATAGAAATATAAACAGCTGGTGTACACGAAGGATTTAATGTGCAAAAGACAAACAGCTTTTAATGTAATAGTTGGAAGTGATCTAGGGTATTGTTTCCGATTTCACGTGGCAGCTGACTGTTGAAATACAACTTTACTGTCCTATCACAGCATATCTATCCACAGTTATTCTAGAGGGCCGTAAAGTACTAGCTTTCCAGCTGTGTGTGTGAGACATGGTTGTCTTTTTTCGGATTGTTCAGTCAAAACAACACATTATAAAAGACTGAATAGGGAGACAAGATGACTCTGCCACCGTCTGCTGAGCCACACACTGAGCCTATAAAGACAAGGCCTCGCTTGTAGTTTTGTTTTCTATACTACTAACTTTTCAACTAAAATACATGTTTTGGGGACTGGAGAGATGGCTCAGCAGATGAGAGCACTGGCTGCTCTCCCGGAGAACTGGGGTTTAATTCTAAGCACCCGCATGACAGCTCGAAACTGTCTGTGGCTCCAGTTTCAGGGGATCTGACACCCTCACCCAGACCTGCATGCAGTCAAAACACCAATGTATATAAAATAAAAATGAAATTTATAAAAGACAAAAAAATATGTTTAGATTACTTAAAAATAAAACCTGTAAGGTCTTAGTTTTTATTTTTGCATTTTAAATGAAAAATACTGTAAACAAAAGTTCTTTGGTAAATCCTAATAAAATATAAAATTCTGAGATTCTATGGTCTAGGACAGTCAACTTAGAATTCAGGAGCAGGGCATGACATTGTGACCCAGAATGTTTGCTTTTAAAAACAATGCTCCACTTTTCAAATGGTAGTGTTAAAATGGGCTTTGTGTCACTTTTAACATTATTTGAAATCGTTGGAACTTTTCTAAACCTTTATTTTCATTTTCTGTCTTTGCAAGAGTACAGAGCTGATGAAATACTGGTGCTTGCCACTGAACCTGACAACCTGAGTTCAGTCCTGAAGAGACCCATAGGGTATAAGGAGAAAACTTAAACCCTCCAAGGGCCCCCAGGTGCCCTTGGAGCCCCCCCCCCACAGTGTCTCTTTCTGTCTCTCTCTCCTTCTCCCCCTAAATAAATAAATAAATAAATAAACAAACAAACAAATAAATAAGTAAGTATGGAATAAAAGACTAGAATAAAAATGTGAATTCAAATAGAATTTGCAAAACTGCTTTTATGACTGATTTTTCTCAGGTGTGTCTGGTTTCTTCATTAAGGAATAAGAAAAAGGCATTGGGAAAGAGTCATTGATAATCTGTTATAATCGTGATGTCTTAATTATATATGAAGTTACTAGTTCATATTTGAGTTAAATAGACAATATTAGTTTAAGAATTTTCAGTGGCTCATCCCATGCCGAGTCCAGGGCCGTTTGGAATATACGTGGAGGCTAACTCCATCCAGTGGGAACTTTTGTATACTAATAGCCACTGTTTCCCTTCCACCGTGTAATGGTTAGAATATTGAGGGTTCTGATGGTCTTTCTCTTTTTGCAAACAGATAATCTCAGCGACACTTTAAAGAAACTGAAGATAACTGCTGCTGACAGGGCAGAGGGCAGTTTGGAAGGATGCTTGGATTGTCTGCTTCAAGCCTTGGCTCAAAACAGTAAGTTTCCTTGTTTATTCAAATTCCAGACAAAAGAAAGAAAGGATTAAATCAGCATTGTTTAGAAATTGGTATATAGTCAGGCATATAATTTGTATTCACATATTTTAAATTCTTTTGAATCTTACTCTTGAAGGCTGAAATTGTTTCCACTTGTCTGTCCGCCTACCTACCCACCACCGGACAGTACTCTAAACCAAACTGGTAGGCAAAAAAAAGAGAAATTGATTGGTGGTGATGACATTTATACCAGCCCCTGAGAACAGCCATTATGGCTTTTTCCTTTTAACACCTATATTTGTGCTTTTTTAACAAAACAAAAAACAAAAGCCTAAGCTGTTTATATGTAGGGAGGAGACAGGAGACACTAAAGGCGCTTAAAATCCTTCATATTGTTTTTTTCTTAGCCCATCTTTTTTAGCTTTAAAAGAGTTTTATTTTAAAATCATATGTATGCATCGATTAAATTGGAAAGAACCATCAGCTGTCATAACAAATATTTCTCAAAACCTAGGGCCATGCTTAATTCCAAAGAGAGAAATTACGTAATTCTGCATTGATTATCACAGTGTATTATTGCATTTGATATAACATATGTCTGTTCACTAATTTCTGTTATGGTAAGTGGATATGTATAAAATGATCTTCAGTTGTTTTCGTAATCCTACTTAGTTGTACTCTGTTTATATTTGATTATACTATTCTCATGGACTGATTATATAACTGTCCAAGAGTTCAGGGGAGAATATATTGTTATGGTTTCAATTCAAGCACTTAGGTGGAGGTTTCTTTACTTTAGCTTTTAACTAAACTGCCCAGGAAAAATATCAAATCATCGATTACAGTACTCTTTATTGAAAAGAGCACATTTTGAAGCTAGCATGCATTTACTTTTCTTGTCACTGTGACAAGAGCAGCTTTGAGGAAGAAAGCTTTGTCTTGGCTCACGATTTCAGTCCATCATGACAAGTCCTGGCAGGGCAGAGCTGTTCAGCTACTAGCAACTAGGAGGGAAGGCACTGAGGACCTTTAAAGGAAAAAAGTCCTTAATAACTGACCTCCTTTTTGACTCCAGAAATTCCCACCATCTCTCCAAATAGCATTGCCAGCCAGTGGCCAGGCCGGCAGCCTCCACACATGAGTTAGTGGGGGCATTTCAGATTCGTGCTATAACATAGACTTTAAAATTGAGTTTCAGTAACCTTTCCTTTCAAGATTGTAACTCTCATCTATTTAATACAGAGATTACAGATGACAAAAAATTCAGAACATTTGGGTAATGCTCAAGATGATAAAGGGAAAAAAACAACAACAAGAAAATGTCTCCTGATGCTGCCCTTCTCAGTAGGAGAATTGCTATTTATGCTTAGTGAAAGTAAATAAAACTTCAGTTGAACTTGCTATTTGTTTTTCAGTATCCTGCCAGGTAATGACTTACGAGGTTCACAGATGTAAAAGATTCCCATAGCCATAGGAAGGCTTTTTGAATAGCACTGGTGTAGAAACTGGAAAGAACATGGTGACCTGATTTTACAAGTGCCTATGTAGGCAGCTTTACATAACATATTTCTCTTAAGTAAACTGAGGATCAGCCTAATTTTTTTTTTTAAAGAGTTGTGCTGTTTAAACTTCCTCTTTTTTCATTGTCAATTTTTTTCCTCTGTGTTTATTTGGGGAATAAAATATTTTTTAAAGGAAACCATTAGCTTTAGAAACTGAAGGCTATAAAGATGGTTTCCTTGGCAACATGTGAAAAGTTCCGAGTCTTCCTCTGGAAAGCACTAAAGGCCAGAGTTGAGGAAGGAAGTAACAAAGGGGAGCAAAGGTTGAAGGCCTTTGTTAAAGGTTAAAGGGTCAAAAACATCACTGTGTATAATTGTTGGATTAAATTAAAAGCCTGCATGTAGGAATGTTGACTTATTTATTGAAATTGGTCTTATTATTGTGTAACACAGACTCTTAAGGTCAGATGCGCATAGGTGTTTAAGAAAACCAACAGAATAGAAAGTAAGGGCTCCTCAGGAAGATAAGGGAAATGTGTTTTGTTATCAGTGTAAGATAACGTTTATAAATATTCTCATTTCTGAGACTACAGAAAGAACTTGACACAGGAAGCAGTTCTTACCGATGTTCACTGTTTGACTTAAAAATTATGTCCGTCATTGAAAAGCATATTACCAAAGACAATTTAATTTTGAGGTATCTACACTGGGACTTTGGCATATTTGAATTAATTATAATTAATTTCCAATATAATTATAAATGATTACTATCTGAAGTTAGAATTTTAAAAATATTTTTAATTTTTTTTATTTTTTGAAGTTAAAATACAGTTACATCATTCCCCCTTTCCCGTTCCTTCCTCCAGCTGTTCCGTTTCCCCTTCTGCTCTCTCGAGTTCATTCCTAAATATACAGATAAAACCTGCTGTGTCTGTATAATGTTACTTGTTCTTCTAAGATTTGGGGGCTGGTCACTTGGTGTTGGTTAATAATTTGGGGACTCTACCCTAGGGGAGACTCTTTTCCTGTGTTCAGCATTCCTTAGTTGCCTGTAGTTCTTTGTCTAGGTTTAGGGCCCTGTGATATTTCTCTTTTTTGTGTTAGCATGTCTGTTGGTGTTGTCCTTGTTCAGGTCTTGTTTAGGCAGCCATATTGTTGGGATATCATGGATGTTTCTAGAAGACAAAAGTCTCACAGCAAACTCCTGCTTCTCTGGCTCTGAGAGGCTTTCTGCCCCCTCTTCCACTGTGTTCCCTGATCTTTAAGTTGTGTCCTAGACCAGTCATTTGGGGCTGGGCATCACACAGTCATCCGTTTCTGTATTTTCATTGGTTGTGGTTTTCTATTATGGTGTCCATGTATTGAAAAGAGAAGTTTCTTTTTGAAGGGGTGAAAATTACACTTACCTGTTGCCGGAGTAAGGTTAAATATTTAGAATGCATTTAGGAATTATGCTGGCTTAGAAGAGTGGTGGTTGTAGGTTCTCCCAGATTCATGACTTCCTCAGCCCCAGTTGATCAGGTTTCCAGTACAAGGCATGATTCCCCAATAGTTGAGAAGGCCTTAAGTCCAGTTACAGAGTATCACTCCTACCCCTTTAGGGTCACTGGGCTATGTTGGCATTGTCATAGGCATCATAGCTGGGTGGGACTGTTGGTTGCTTCCTGCCCCCTGGGAACATGTGTGCACTTTCTGGGACCATGAAGCTCATTCTCAGGGAAGAGGCTCTGAGGCCGGATAAGACTCAGATCCTCTGGGTTCTGTGTCTAAAGAGCATGGTGTCTTCAGGAGTAAGGACTCACCTTCAACTTCGGGGAAGCAGCAAGGACAACGCCCTGTAGTGCTGTGGGAGTCTCTTGTACTCTGCTGACAAACAGCTCATAAGGGGCTTCTTATGTGTGGTACTGGGGGTTTTGCTAGACAGTCTGTAGCTGTGGGAGCAGGGCATACGTGGTGTCGCCAGACCACATGGGAAAATTTCATTTCAATTTTATATACATATACATAGACTTATATATGTGTTATATAATTTTAGGTAAATTAAATAATGTTTCCTTATGACCTTCCAGACACCTTTACTGTTATTTTACCCTCTTAACTTAATGGTTGAGTCCAATTTGTGGTATTTATATACATATGGGTGTGGGGCTACCCTCTAGAGTATCTACTACCACACAGAAAATGACCCTCTTTTCCCTAGTAACCAGGAGTTTCCAGTAGCTTCTCAACGAGGAGTTGAAGCCCTTCTGGAATGTTGCTGGCTAGATCTTATGCAAGTAACCCACAGCTCTGTAAGCTCATGAGTACACCAGTCCTGTCATGTCCAGAAAATACTCTCATCTTGGCCATTCCCAACTTGTGACACTTAAAAATTTCTGCCCCCTCCTCCACAGTATTCCCTGAGCCAAGGTGTGAGGGAAAGTGCCACACAGGTCTCATTTGTCTCTGAGAATACCATAGTCACTTGATTTCTGTGCTTTGATCAGTTGTGAGTTTCTGCACAGAGAAACTGTTTTGATGAGGGCTATAAGTTTGATACTATGTCAGTTTAGCCAAATAATAGTAGGTTCACCCATGAGGCCTGTGAGCCAGTCTTGGGTTCTAGGCCATTATGTAATACAAGGTGTCTGTTTGCTCTTATGTAGCAGGCCTAAAATCTAACCCTGATACCTTTGGCCTTGTTCCTGCAGTGGCCTTCTCTTGTCAGGCCAGTCATTATTGTACCTCACAGGGTTTATATAGCTGGATAAGACTGCTGACTGGAAAGCTTTCTTGATACTGGCTATCTCATGGTACTGAATTTTTTTAAACCTTGAATATGGCTCTAATATAGATTTCTTTATTGCTCCCTCCTTTCATGGGTTTAATATCTATGTCAATTTTTAAAGGTAAGAATTAGAGGATTTGAATACTCACTATATTTTATAGACCACATTTTGCTTAGGCAAGTATTCTCTATAAATCTCAGATCTGAAGTAATAATAACATTCACTCATATAAACACTTTGATCTCACTTTTAAAATATTTTTAGTAAATATACGGAGGCCACCAGCCAAGAAATCAGCCTGTTTGTTCTGGTTTCATTTGATTCTGCTTATAGTTACATGACGTTTAGCAAATGCTCACTGAATTCTAGTATGGCTACACTAGTTCATTCTCGTTTGAGAATTTAAAACAATGAGTTGCCATGGCAACTAAACATTTTAGCATCTCGATCATCTTGTAAGAGGAGCTAATTTGTTTAAAGAGCCAAAAGTGGAAAAAAATAGTATTTAATTCATAGTTAAATCCTCTTTAATTTTTAAAATTTTAAAAGGGAAGAGGCTACAAGGATGTAAAGTGAATAAAATAAATAAATGAGAAAAAATAAAGATAAACATCAATAGTAAAAAAAAGTATTTAAAATGTTTATTTCATTTGAAAGCATGGGAACAGTACTTCTCTGCTGGGTTTGGGGCAGAGGACCATCTGTGACACAATCCCAGCATGATCTTAAA